GGGGATAGAAATACATCATATTTCCACAGACAACTTCAATATCGCCGAAGGCGGGGACGAATAGTAGAGCTGGTGGATGAACTTGGCAATCAGGTAACAGACCAGGAATCACTCAGGCGTATCGCAATGAAGTATTTTCAAAATATTTACTCGGCAGAGATGGAGCCCCTAAACAATGAGGTTGCACCTAATCTTTTCCCCCGATGCGACTCGGCGCTACTGAACACTATGGCCGAGGACATTACAGACGGAGAAATCTACTCAGCCCTGCAGCACATGGGCTCTCTTAAAGCTCCTGGTATGGACGGATTAAATGCCTTATTTTTTAAGAAAAATTGGGACACGGTCGGCCCTTCAGTATGTGTCTTTATCCGTAAAATGTGGCAGAATGGCATTGTCCCTAACAAGGTGAATAAAACGTTGATAGTCCTTATTCCCAAGATTGAAAAGCCGGCTACGTTGAAGCACTTCAGACCTATCAGCCTGTTAAATGTGATTTACAAACTCTTCACCAAAGTATTGGCGAACAGGATGAAAGGAGCTTTAGCGAATCTAATCCACCCCGCACAAGCCAGCTTCGTCCCAGGTCGTCAGATAACGGATAATATTATTGTTGCGCAAGAGTTGATACACTCGATGCGACATAAACGGGGGACAAAGGGGTATATGGTGATCAAAGTCGACTTGGAGAAGGCCTATGATTATCTGAGGTGGGATTTTATTGAAGAAACGTTAAAACTAGCTGGCTTCCCCACCAAACTAATTTCGGGCGTAATGGCTAGTGTTCGTTCGGCCTCTATGAATCTTTTGTGGAATGGAGGTATTTGCGAGGAGTTTCTGCCTACTCGAGGAGTTCGTCAAGGTGACCCAATATCTCCCTATTTATTCGTGTTATGCATGGAAAGATTAGCGCAAATTATCAGTAATAAGGTCGAGGACCGAAAGTGGCGACCTATATCTATTGGAAGAGGGGCTGTCACGATACCTTTTTTAATGTTTGCGGATGATTTGCTACTCTTCATGGAGGCCTCTGATGATCAGGTTAGTGTCCTCAAGCAAGTCCTGGATATATTTTGTGGCTCTTCGGGTCTCAAAATAAGTTCAGAAAAAACGCAAGTGTTCTTCTCAAATATTGTGCATCACCAGGAACAAGCCAGACTTGCAGGCCTTTTAAATTTCACACTCACGGATAATTTGGGTAAGTACTTGGGCATGCCTATGATCCATGGGCGCGTAACAAAGCATACGTATGCACATATCCTGGAAAAAGTGGAGTCCAGACTATCCGGGTGGCGCATGAAATCGCTCTCTTTGGCGGGTCGAACGACTCTCACTCAGTCTGTTCTTAGCACGTTGCCTTTCTATGCGATGCAATCCGCCTTGCTTCCCTGTGGAATTACCGATGACCTAGAAAAAAGATGTCGAGCCTTTGTGTGGGGTGGAACCGAAGGAAAACGGAAGATTCACCTAGTCGCTTGGCAAGACGTGTGTCGACCAAAGCGACAGGGAGGGCTGGGCATTAAAAGTCTCCGTCATATGAATAACGCACTGCTGATGAAACTGGGATGGGGTCTTTTGACAAAACAAGATACATTATGGGTGAGGGTCCTTCTGGAAAAGTACGATATTAATCCCTCGACAAGCTCAGAGAGTCTTTCTCGTCGACAAAGCTCGCCTCTAATGCGAGCAATTAATAAAATTTGGCCTCATGTGATTCGAGGCGTGCGATGGATAATTGGGAATGGTGAAACGATTCGATTTTGGCTGGACCCATGGTTGGGGATGACAGGACCTTTGATTAATTTTACCACCACCTATCCACAAGAGAAGAATTTATCGAAGAAAATAGTGGAGTTTGTTGGTGAAAATGGTGACTGGGCATGGGACCTTTTTCAAGAGCACCTCCCATCTTCTGTCCTCCTCCGTCTCGCTGCAACTCTACCTCCGAGAGCAATGTCTGGAGAGGACCGGATTATTTGGGGATGGTCCCACAATGGCAGTTTCTCGACACGAACTGCCTACGACTCACTCTCAAGCCCGGATAGACTCCCTGTTTCAAACCTTTGGAGGATAATATGGCGGACTATGGTACCTCAACGAGTACGTCAATTTTTGTGGCTCACTGCTAAAGAACGCCTTCTCACTAATAATGAGCGATATCGGCGACACATCTCCATCTCGGATGAATGTGGCTTTTGTGGCGTAAGTGAGACAGTACTTCATGTGCTCAGAGATTGCCCTTTCGTTCGGAGCCTTTGGGATCGATTACTCCCGGTCGCTCATATACATGATTTTTTTGAACAACCCCTTATATATTGGCTCTTCAAAAACTTAACTAAGCCACGCATGGGGAACATTCGGAATTGGAGTTGCCTTTTCTCTTGGGCGATTTGGAGATCGTGGAACTGGAGGAACGACCGAATTTTTAATCACAAAACAATGAGCTGCGAGGCCCGTCGATTGGAGGTTTTGAGCCGAATGGAAAATTATTTACGCACAACGGAAGCGTACGCTGTAGCTGGGGCCGATCTGAAGCAGACCATGCCTAGATTAATTCATTGGTCCCCACCTGACTCGGGATGGATAAAGATCAATACCGACGGGGCTTTCGACAACTCCACCGGTTTGAGCAGTGCAGGTGGTTTATTAAGAGACTCTTCAGGTGGGTGGATTTCGAGATTCATCATGAATATTGGATATTGCACTATTACGGGTGCTGAACTATGGGGGCTTTATCAGGGACTACATCTCGCTTGGGAGAAAGGATACCGCCAAGTTATAGCGGAGGTCGATAGTCTATGCGCCGTAAACATGATCCTTGGAACTGAAAATAATTTTGGGGCACACGAGTCAATCGTGAAGGCAATACGCGACGTGAGTCAAAGGGATTGGACCATTCAGATTCGGCATGTGCACAGAGAAGCCAACTTTGCGGCAGATTATATGGCTAGCTTGGCAGCAACTTTTCCGATCGGACTTGAGGTGGTGTCTACTCCGCCACCTGGGTTGGGTCGCTGGCTCGAGCACGATATCATCGGGGTGTGCTACCCTCGACAAGTCCCAGATTAACTATTAGGCCTTGGCCTCCTTCTTTGTACCAAAAAAAAGGAAAAAATGACACGTCAAAAAAAAAAGAATAATCCCCCAATTAAATGACCAAAATGCCTTTCTCTCCCAAGGGGCACCTGCTGAACATGAGATATTTATAAGAATAAATTGGGAATTAATAAAAAATTCTTTTTTCTTTTTTTTTGTTAACTTTTGTCAAGAGTGGGATTTGAACCCACGCCCTTTCGGACCAGTACCTGAAACTGGCGCCTTAGACCGCTCGGCCATCTTGACTTCTTGATTTAATTCATAAATTTTATATAATTATACACAATTATTAGCCATACATCATTTGGACGACAAATTGAGTATTGTTCCATGATTCGTTGACGCTAAAAGACGTGTAACTAATGTGGTGATGGTAAGACAATTCTCTTTGCAATTTCCGCTCGAAGTTTGTGTTTCGAAGCCCAGGCTATACAGTATGTACCATTTAACATATGTAACAAAAGGAACTGCATCACAAAAAATGGTCTGACTGCAATTTTGAATTGTTAGGCCCAACTGGAGAGAACAAGTGCTATATAGAGGTAGCAAGGGTTGGCCTGGCCCGCCGACCCGGCCCGGATCTACGGTCTTGAAATTGGACTCGTGGTAAAACTAGGCCGGTTCCAAGTCTTATTTCTTTTTTTTTTTTTGACCTGTCGGTTCCGACCCAATTTCGCGTCGGAAGATGGGTCCGAATTGTTTTTTCTTTTTTTTATTAAAAAACGAATCGCTGGGTCGAGACGATTCAATGAACTGGCCCTTAGATGTAGTCAGGCTAGCTCCGGGTCAAGCTCTTGAGGTCGGTGACCTGGTGGGCTGGGCCGGGTCGTGAACCGGCCCAGTTGATGGCCATGTCTACTGCTATAAAAAGCCCGGTCAAGTGTGCGGGTTTTAGAGCATCTCCAATGGTGGGCATGAATTGGAGTGTATGTGGCAACTAAATAGATGGTCTTCCATCCACGTGAAAGAAATAGATATTCTAACTCATAAAAAGTCTCCAGTGGTTCACGTATTTTTTTTCTTCTCATAACAGTTACCTTCTTTTTCTTTAATCGATTTGTTGGTTTAATTAAAGAAAAAGAATTAAGTGAGAGGAAAAAATGACTCATCATGTCTAACAGGACTTCTACACGTATAAGGACTTCTGCAATTTATTCTTTCTCTTTCATGCCACATCATTATAACTTATAAGTAGACATGGCCAAAACCAGGGCCGGGTCGGCGGGCCAGGCGACCCTTTGGCCATGTCTACTTATAAGTGGAGTTTAGACATTCACGATTGATATTTTTTATTGAACTTCATCCATATTTGTACAATTAAAAGTTCATCGCGGAAATCACCTTGCCCATATAAACGTGTGCGTGTGCAAATGCGTAGTTAAAAACTTCATGGGACAAATATTTATCGGTAGAATCGAACGATGCTGATTCATAGCTATGCTTGGATTGGATAATGTTACACTCTTGTCAAGAAGACAAGACCACATGTAATGTGCACTGGCCTGTAAATGAGCCGAGCCAAGTTTGAGCTTAGGGGTGCTTGAGCCCGAATTCAGTTCGTTTATCAATAATAAGAAGCCGAGTTCGAACCTTAACGAGCCGATCTCGAGTTTTAACGAATCGAATTATCGAAAATTATATAAAACTTATCTTATCGAGGTTTATCGAACCGAGTCGAGCTCGACTCCTTAACCACACGAGCTTTAAATTAGCTCCAACTCAGATCGTTTATCAAATGAGCCGAGGCGAGCTGAACTCGAGCCAAGTCGAGCTGAGCCAAACTCGTTTAATTTATCATCACTTATTCACTTATTGTGCATACAACTAATGACATGAAAAACATGGATCACAAGATCAAATAAAAATTGCCTTGGGCTTGGTCACACGAATCAAGTTGTGGCGCAATGAACAGCGCAGCAGAGCAATTCTGCCTCTCACTCTTGAACAACTGCAGAACCCTGAAATCCCTCCACCAATTCCAGGCCCGAGCCACCAAAACCGGCCTCGAAACAAACCCACTCGTCGCCGGAAAATTGCTCCTCCACTGCGCCGTCAACCTCTCCGGCGGCCTCGACCACGCCCGCCTCCTCCTCCGCCGCGTCCCCAACCCCGACCCCTTCATGTACAACGCCGTCATCCGCGGCTTCTCCGACTCGGACTCGCCCCGGGACTCCATCTCCACCTTCTCCCTCATGCTCCGGGCCTTGGACACCCCTCCCGACAGCTTCTCCCTCGCCTTCGCGCTCAAATCCGCCGCCAACATGCGCTGCTTCAGAACCGGCGCTCAGCTCCACGGCCAGGCCCTGGCCCGCGGGCTCGGCTCGCATCTCTTTGTTGGGACCACGCTGATCAGCGTGTACGCAGAGTGCGGGTGCCCCGAGTCCGCCCGGAAGGTGTTCGACGAAATTCCTGAACCAAATACCGTAACTTGGAATGCGCTGGTGACTAGTTTCTTTAGATGTCGCGACATTGAATATGCCGAGCGAGTGTTCGATCAAATGCCTGAAAAGAACTTGACTTCGTATAATTTAATGCTTGCAGGGTATATGAGGTTGGGCGAGGTTAACCGGGCAAGGAAACTGTTCGACAAAATGCCTGTGAGGGACGACGTGTCTTGGAACACCATGATTGTTGGGTTGGGACAACACGGGTTTTTCGACGAGGCATTTGGGTTTTTTCGGAAGTTTCATGTTATGGGAATGAAGCCCAATGAAGTGAGCCTGACAGGTGTTTTATCCGCTTGCTCACATTCAGGCGCGCTCGAATTTGCCAAGATACTGCACGGGTTTATTGAGAAAGTCGGTTTATTTTCGATAACTCCGGTGAATAATGCTCTAATTGATACTTATTCCAAATCGGGTCGCGTAGATATGGCTCGTTCGGTATTCAACAGTATGCCGGGGAATAAAAGTGTCGTTTCTTGGACTTCAATGCTCGTGGGCCTGGCCATGCAAGGGCACGGCGAGGAGGCATTGGGCCTTTTTCACGAGATGGAGAAATCCGGGACAGGCCCAGATAAGATTTCCTTTGTTGCATTACTTTACGCGTGCAGTCACGCTGGTCTAGTCGAGGCGGGTCGTGAGGTGTTCGATAAAATGACCCGAGTTTACAATATCGAGCCCGAAATCGAGCATTATGGATGCATGGTCGATTTATACGGAAGGGCCGGCCGGTTAATCGAGGCCTACAATTTCATAACCCAAATGCCAATTCCGGCGAACGACATCATCTGGCGAACCCTTCTCGGAGCTTGCGGGTTTTACGGGAATTTGAATCTCGCCACGCGTGTAAAGGAGAGGCTTTTCGAGCTCGACCCGAATAATTCGGGCGATCACGTTTTGCTTTCGAATATTTACGCGGTCAAAGGTAAATGGGATGACGTGGCGAACGTGAGGAGATCGATGACCGATCTTAATTTGAGTAAAATCCCGGGTTGGAGCATGATTGAGGTGGATAAGGCTATGTATACTTTTATGGCCGGGGGAAAACGAGATGATGATGATGTCATGCATGAGGCGTATAGGAAATTGGATGAGATAATGTCGAGGATTAGAGTCGAAGGAGGTTATGTACCGGAAGTGGTTAATGTTCTGCATGATGTTGAGGAGGAAGAAAAGGAGGGCTCGGTTATCGCGCACAGCGAGAAATTGGCCGTGGCTTTTGGGATGTCGAGGTTGCGAAAGGGTTCGGTTTTTTTAAGGGTTGTGAAGAATTTGAGAGTGTGCAAAGATTGTCATAATGTGATGAGGTTGATTTCAAAGGTTTATGGTTTGGAGATTGTTTTGAGAGATAGGAGTAGGTTTCATGGTTTTAAGGATGGGGTGTGCTCCTGCAGAGATTACTGGTGAAGTGATTTGTGTGTCTTCTTTTGTACCAACGTGCACAACAGCACATTCGTAAATTATATAGGGGATTATATGTAACATGATAAGCTTTGTTATATATAATACACTATATTGTATTTTACAGGGAATTTGGGTGCACATTCGTAAATTATATAGGGAATTTGTAGGTAATGTCTATAACAATNAAGTATTAATAGGTGTAATGGGTGTGTTGGGGCTGGCCCGTTTGCCCATTTTGACTGGTCTATCCTCCTATGCTACTGGACTAGAGTTTAATCATATAATGAACCTATCTTGCAAGTACATATATGATTTCATAGAATTATCTCCTTTATGAGCTTTGCTTCCATTTTGGTAAGGACTGCAAAATGTGTTTAAAAGAATATATATTAAGGCAGTACTTTTAAGAAAACCTACATGTACATAAAAATAAATAAAAATATTCTTTTTCACTTCACTACGACAACGTATTAAAGTTTTTCATGTCGTTCACTGATAAATTAACCTTTTCACTCCAGAAAATGCGAATGCTTTTTTCGACGAATATGAGACATTTGTGTCATGACATTTTGCGGTAGCAAAAAGTGGAAAAACATTCGCATAACTCTTCGCACTTTTTGGTGGTGAAAAAGTTAAAAAGGAGAAAGCATTGTGCGATGAATATGCGATAGTTATGCAACTGATATACGACAGTTATGTAGTTCATTCAAATAACCTTCGCACTTTCTGAAATAAAAAAAAAAAAAAATTGTCAATGAGCAATGTGAGAAATTTAATTTATCTTTGTAGTTGTTGAGTGAAAGATTTTTCTCACTAAAATAATTACTAACTCTACAAAAGAAATGTGCACCTACTCATCTCTACCTATCCAATTTCAGCTTAATGTTGTTTTCCAGCATCTGCCCAACTCAGTGAAGACCGAAGTGTGAAGTACTCAGAGCATAAAAGCATTTTCAGATTTGAAACTCACCAATTCATTATGAAATGGACACTTTTGTCCCCACCTTGAATGGAGGCCTTTGAACCTTGTTTTTCAGCCACCACTTTGAGCTGTTGAATTAACTTCATAAACCCTCCTCCTATTAAATATACATTCCCCCAACTCAAAAGGATATAATAAATGTACATCACATTCAATTTTATTAAATTCTAGTGACAACCAATAATGCCCACTTACCTAAAACTTGTCCCTTCATCCACAGTTCAAAAACCCAGATAATCTGTAAGAAATTGTCAACTTTTTGCTAGAGAAAAGTGTTTCCTAGTTTTTTAGTGTGGCAAAATGCTAAAAAGAGAACCACATTTTGTGAAGGTGTGTAAGTACATCAGATCAAATGGCTATTTGACAAACAAACCATGAGGAAAAAAAGAA